TAAATCTCTTAGATGCAGTCAATTTTATTCATAGAGCTTGGCAAAAAGTTAGCCGAAAAACCATTGCAAATTGCTTTAAGCATGGGGGATTTGTAAGAAAAGAAAATGATTACGAACCAGACGATGAAATTCCACTTAACGAATGGTTAGAAAAGTATAAAGACTCTGACTGCGAGTATGACACAGGCGAAAATGTCCCAATGTTGTCGAAGAACAAGTTAAAACCAAATTGAGTGATTTCAATTTCTTCGAATATGTGAGCATTGATAATGGCATTCTTACAAGAGAAATGTTGACCGATGAGAAAATTATAGACTCCGTAACCTCATCTACAGCTTTAAGCGATAATGAGAAAGATGACGATTTAGGTGAAACGTATTCTACTGTAGACACTAATGCTGTTCTGAAATGACAAAAAAAGTGGCAGAAACTCGGAATTTTTTACAATGACGCCAAGTTGCTAATCATATCTGGGAGTTCTTTTGTTATCTTGAAAACTACATAAATAACATCTATTTTTGTAGCAGAAATGTACACACAAAAATTACAGACTTTATGAAGTAGATTTCAAATTGAATTTTGTTTATCTTTTTGTGTTCTTTTTAGCCATACCTACCTACCTTCTACTACTCTATGTAAAAATAACGAAATAAAATACACCACGTGTTTTGTATTATTATTTGCTTATAGCGAACTCCGGATATAACGAACCAGTTTTAGTTGATATTTCAAGTTTGTTATATCCTGACTCAACTGTACGTTGTATTCCATTAGAAAAAAGCTAAAATTGCGTTGCTGTGACCTTTTGACTGATCCTGTATACTAAATTTTTATTTATGTAAATAGACTGGAAATAACTTTATCATTTTTGCACCTATTAATCGTTTTTTTCTAGGTATCTTCGTTTCGGAACAGATTCACCGTTTGCGTACCTACAAAAAAGCAACCCGGTATGTGACGCACTAAATAATAGATAGTGAGGTCTATGTTACAGTTTTATTTATAAAGAAGTCTACCTACCTACCTATCTACATGTATAAAAATTGTTCGAGATACACGCTTCCAAGGCAATTAAATTGATTTCTTATCAACTCATAAAATTCACATTTTAGATGGTAATTCATTAAGCATATTTCCCATACCTTGCATTTAGAAAAATCGTTAACTGCCAATTGAAAGGATTTGTAGTTTGGCAATTCACTTTTGCTCAGCCGCATTTCACAGCTCGTAAAAAATGTCCTTACTTTAATGATAGCTACTGGAAGAGAAGATAAAACACGTGCAAAAGCCTGCTCCTTTCTGGATGAAACAAAGGGATGATAAAGATCTGCAGAATTTCTCACGTTTCGATTCTCACTGTTGAAATTAAAAAATGTCGAACCCCCTTTGTTGCGTAGAAATCAATATCTTATTCCCAATCATGCGGGATTAACTCAGATTCTTTAGCAGTTTACTACCTCTATATTAGACCTGGTTGGATTATGGCCGTTTCCTGGCTATCACAACATAGCGTCAAAACAAAAGTTGAAAATATATTAGTTACAGATTGAAAATGATGTTTCTAATATCCTACTAATCTCCTGTTCCTGTCGATGGATTAGGACTCACGCCAGTATTAAAACGGGGCCGAAAACATCTGGGAAAGGTTCATCATTGTAACGATGAGGAAACTGTGCATATTTTAATGACATTCTTTTAACCGGTCATCTCGGTAAATGTGCCAGACTAAGATTTCTATCCAATCCAGACCAGTCTAATATTTCAATAAACTATCGCAATACCTTCGTATTGAGACTTGTTAGGATCACATTTTATGTCACAAATTCGATTGCATCTTATTCATAATTTATCTATTTGGTAGGGCGTATAGGCTCCTCCTATGTTATTTCAGTATCTCGATCTTCCAACTGTAAATTTCCTTAGTTAAAATGATTTTTTTTCAATTTCAGTTACACACTGATTTATTAAATCGCTTTTGTTTTTACCAGGCCCGGTGACATTGAAAGGATGTTAGAAAAAATCGTAGTTAAAGACATTATTCCATCCACTGGTGTTTCCAAATGCTCAGATTCTGATCGTACGTACGTACGATCATTAGTGAGAGAAAAAGGCCCCCTGGGCAGCCCTAATTGCACTGTCGGTTGTCCACGAGCCGACGGTTGACTTCAGCCACGCGTCTTTCATTATGTTAGACACGTTTTGATTTTTAAGACAAAAGCTTCGGGGAACCACCCGCTTTATTTCAGTGCATGACTAAACGATACCCCGAAATTGGGACTACCGAGAATAACTCATTTTACTAAGTAAAAGTGTAGATTTCCTTAAAGTTTTCAACTTAAATCAACATCATTTTATGCATTTGCATTCATACGCTTAAGTCGTTGAAGAACAACAAATTTTGCCTGATGTTTTGATTACTTTACAGTGAGGAGTCGTTTCGAATCCAAAATAGCAAACAGCATTGTTCAGTCACGTAGAAATACCAAAGTTGGGCTCTTGTACCTAAAAACAACACAGCATCACATCTAGACAGTTGTTAGACAGATATCGTATATTCTGTTATGTAGTAGGTAAATGCGTTCGTCAATTGGCGCTAATGGTAAATAAACAAAATAAACAAACAATGTCTGGTTCGACAGCAATTGTTCATATTCGACCTTCGCAATTGCTTGGTAGGCAAAATCTGGATTAATATATAGAATCCTATGCAAGGGAGGATCCAGTGTTGGGAATGGTTGATGATATTTTTTCCAATTTCCCAGATAATTTAACAAAATAAATACTTTGTATGATGTGGCAAACATCAACGCGAATCACACGCATATTATGAATATTTAGCTGTTTTTATGAACATATGGCGCATCAGATCCTTCAGCATGAATAAATTAGTAACTCTCTTAATGCGCGCCCCATTTGGGTCCTTGAAAATTCGTTATAAAGCCAGTGATTTTGACTAAAAACAGTATATTGCCAACTTGAAATCCGTTGAGGAACTCGAAAGTCATAAGAGTCTGAAGGTCGACAAGCCAATTTTTCAAGTCAAATGTTATCAATGTTAACAGCTTTATGTATGTTGAAATTTTCTGCATAACTATTTTTCTATAAAACCTGCATCACGGAAAATTGCAATCGGTTGAAAAACTTGGAAGTTATGATGATTTTAATCTCAATCTACTTTCGTTTGTTGGAATGTACCGTCAAACGACCCATAACTTAAAAACTGGATCGGCCATAGAATTTTGATCCATGTTTCTTCACATAGACCTATTTTTAAATATCTATCTGATCTATGTGAAATCCTACAA